CCTCATGGTGGAATTGACCACTTCACATTCCTTCCTAGTCTGACCCACTCCAAGTCACCAAGCATGGCTTTACTATCTGTATGTATTTATCTGATTCTTATGCATCTTATTTGATGGAACCACCATTTAAATACATTACCATTTGATTGACCTATTTGCTAACTATTGAATTTTCAGAGTATTTTAAATATATACATATACAAACGTTTTATCAGATAAGTTATTAGCAAATATTTTCTCTCAGTCCATGGCATACTCTTCCTTTTCTTAGAGCATTTTATGACTAAATCTACAATCAGGTGTTATCTGAGTACCTGGAAGTACTTAATGCCGCTAGAATATCTAAATACTGTTTTTTGTTTGTTTGTTTGTTAACTACAAGAAAGATAATATCGACATGTGCTTATGCTTCACTGCATCTGCATGTCTACATGGACCATGTGTCTAGGCAACAAGTCTATGTTTACATGTATCCCATTGCTTTTGTGGAGCTCCATACAACTCGTGAGCTTGAGACAGCTGCCCTTACTAACCCACATCTGTAGGAACAGTGTCTTCATACTTTATTTGGAGGCCTGAGAAGCAGAAGGGAAAGAGTGCTCTGTTACTGCTTAGTCTTTTTTTTTCTCACAAGTTAGTTCATTACAAAGGTCTGGTCATCCACTATGCTCGTTTCTCATACTATTTGACATGTGGACCTGGGTGCTTTCTGTTATTTATATGCATTCTGCACACAAAAGGATTTTGAATAGTTTTATTTTGAGATGGGATCTCATGGGATCTCACAATGTAATTCTGCCTGGCCACCATGCCCAGCTTGAATAGCTGTCTTTGCTGGAGGTTTGGAGGAGATGACAGAGAGTGTCCTGATATCAGCATATACAATGGTGAGTTTTGAGTGACACCATCTGTTCTGAAGAGTCTGTTTTGTTTCCACCAGGAAGTTGTTACTTTCTGACTGACTTCAGGGAATATCACATGGCCAGGCAATTTGGGTTGTTTCCTCTGTCTCTCTTCTCGGAACAAATTAACACCTCCAAACATGCTATCTTAAATCTTTTTATGTTTCTGTAACATAATACCCAAGATTGAGTAATTTGTAAATAAAAGAGGTTTATTTTGGTTCCCAATCAGGCAACTGCTTGAGTCTCATAATGGGAAGCAGAAGCGAAGACTGGTATGCATATGAGAAAATGGTTCTGAACATCCACTACGCCTGGCTCATTCCTTCAAGAAACACATTAATTCACACATGGGAGTGCTAGACCTATAAGCCAAACCCCAGGTCCTACTTTGTACCACAGCTGCACTGAGGAGGAATTGAAGTCCCGTTCATGAAGACACCAACATGCTGATTCTTAAACAGCATTACATAAATGCCTTTCTGTCTTTTATGGTGCTGTACTTCAAACGTCTAGATCCACCCTTCTATATCAAGTCTTTGTAGGTATCTTCCTAGACTATTATGCTTATGAGTGTTCTGATGCCAGCTAAAATAATATTACCCTATGATAGCTTCCATGCACAGTTACCTGCTTAAGCATATGGAGCTTTATGCTTGGGTTCTTCTGAGAAGAACTTTGCTCTTTGGAGGATTTTCACTTATTCTCCGTTGGTGATGGACATACTTTTGGCATTCTGGATAGCTAGTATGCTCAGCCAGGACCATATTTTAAGTTATGCAGAAATAGCTTTCTCCCAGTTTATCTGTAGTGCCCAGAGAAGACAGCAAAACGCACCATTCTCTTGTTTCTAGACACTGCTTAGCCTATGCATTTCTATAGGCTGAACTTGTACTTGACTCCCAGGCAGAAAGGAGCCCTGCTGAAGAAAAGCTCCGCGAAGGGCTGAGGTAGGAAGTTGCAGAAGACAAGAATTGTGTTTTCAGGGCATTTCATTGTTTTGGATGCACAGGTGCAAGCTCATTGTGATGACCTTTCCTAGTTTCACCCCATGCTGTCAGCACAAAAGTAGCTTGTCCCCACCCAGAATTCTACTAAGGAAGAATTATTAGATGATGATCTTAAAGTTTTGTAATGCTCCCAGAGAAAATGCCTCAACCTCCACGATTCTTCACATTGCATTGCCTCTGGAAACCCCCGTTTATTAGTAATAAGAACTAAGAGCAATTATTAGATCCTTTTGAGACTTAGGTTCCTGCCTGACGTGGAACATGAAGTAAGAGAATTATTTCCACCCAAGAGGCATATGTGAAGGGGATCAAATCAATTGTGTCCATAACTGCTTGCATGTGGCAGTAGGAGTCATAAAAGCCCAAGCTTCTAAGGGTTGGGTACAGGGACAAAAGCTAGCCAGTTGGCATATGCTGGCCAGATACCAGAAGAATTCCTTAAAAGTTTGATTTTCTCAAGACAGTTGTCGGAGACATTGGTGTTGCCGTTCTCCCCTGAATGTCCCTTTTGCGTATACTTTCTTGCTTCCCTCTTAAAGATCAGATTTGATTTGATCCATCCATCTTGAATTTGGCTCTGAGAGTTGCAGAAAAGATGGAAGTCAGAAGGATGAACCCAAAACTCTGTGTGAACAAAGTTGAGGGGCCAGGAGTAGATAATTCTGAGAGGTAGATAAAGGACAAGACCATGTAGATGTTGAGTAAAGAAGGGACAGATACCCTCAGCTTCCCCAAGAAATCATGAGGAGCAAGATAAAGGCATTTGCATTTAGTAAGAGTTGGGGTGCTTAGGGGCTCCTCATCTGTAGGCTTGGAGGCATATACCCATTTAATAAACCTGCCGGGCAGATCATTTCTCTGATAGAAAAGGTTTTGGAGTAAATAAGACAGCTGATATGTTCCTCTGGGCCGCCCCAAATGCCCAAGCGGGTTCTAATTTTATAAGCACAGAGCCCCAGGAATAGAGTAGAAGCAGAAGGTACCCCAGGTTCTGGCTTCAGAGCCACCTGCTAGCCACTTCCTTTATCAGTCCCATAGCAGGTGATCTCCCAACCATTTCCCTAGAAGCTTTAGGTTTCCCATTGTCTCTTACCTTGCAAAATGCATGTGTCTTCCTCTGATTTTAAATTCCTCAAATTCAGGAGCCAGAAACTACACTACTTTTTTTAGGAGTACTTTACAAAGAAGTGTCCAGCAACTATTAATATAGATGGCTATAGAAATCAGTAGAAATTAAATTGTCATATTGACTTTTGTATTATAAATATTTTATTTTCTGGGGTTAAAAGTTTAAATAAAGAGTAGAAAATAATTTAAATTATAAATTAATAAAAATTCAATGTTTTCCTTTGACCTTTCAAATGCAGTAGATTCAGTACCAGTCACAAAGTCAGTCTCTGATGCTTAAAGATTGCCTGCAACCATCACCAGCTCTCAGAGGCATCGGCAAAGAGGTCTTCAGTTCAGGAAGTTTCTAGTAAGGCTCAGAATGATGAAAAAGTTCTTGAAGATTTCTGCTCGGACCACCATCCAGGCATAGCTGTTGTACTTATTGCCTTTAAGGTAATTTTGCACCCTCCAGTAATAGCTCTTCAAATGTCGAGTAGTCGTGGATGTCTCCCAAGTCAATCTTTTTTCTTTCTTTTCCTCTAGTATTTTCTCCAGAAACTCTGTCTGCTGGTGGAGTTCACTCAAGAGGCTTTCAACAATAGTCTCATTCCACCCAGTGCTGGAGAAATTGCTTCTGAAGACAAGAAAGACATTCTGGAGCATCACTTGGATGGCAAACACAGTGTAACTCTTCTCCATCTGTGATGGGCGTATCATATCCATAGGGTTCTTGAAGTTCGTCCTGTAGCTGAGTTTGATCTTTCCAGACAGCTGCCTCAGGAGCTCCTGACATGTCTCAATGCGTGTGCTTTGTTGGATCTGGAGCTGCTCGTAGTCGATGGAGAGGGCTGTGGTGGAGAAGCACAGCAGGAATGCAGCATGGAGGATCCACCTGTTGGTCATGATGGAAGCTGAGCTGGTGATGGCTGATACCTGCAAGATGAGGCAAAAGCTGCCAAAGGCTGCAGTGAGAATGATCCTCCTTCATGGTCCGGGCTATTTATAAGGGATGGTCCTTTCTGCCTCAGAGGAATTTCCCACTTTCAGTTCTCCCTTTCAGTTTTCCTCTGTCATTTTTTCTCATTCTAACAGCTCCTAATATTCATTTTATTGAAGCTCCTGGCTATTTTATATACTATGTACTGGGTTAAAATATATATAAACTGTGAAGATTTATAAAACTTCATACAGTTTCACTAATTACTGGAGCAAAGGAAGAGAAATATCCAGGAGTGAAGAACAGAAAGCAGACAGCCCTGAAGATAAAAGGACTCTCAAACAGCCAAAGTGTCAACTGAAAAGCCAGACAGAGTAGCTGCTCATTCAGGATGGCACAACCTCTGCCCTATGAAATAGTGGGCTGGTGGGAGAGGACATCTGTGAACTCCGAGGGGGCTTACAATAGTGTACTATAGGAGAAATGTCACATCAATGACCCATAGCTCCCCTTTGTGAGAGGACCCCCATGCTGGAGAAACTGCTTAAAGTGGGATCCAGTATGAGCAATGGAGGAATAAAAGAGACCAGGGAAGGAAGGGCTATGAGATGGGCAACAGAGAGAGAAGCGGCCAAGTTTCCCAGCACTTCACCAAAGCAACAGAAGAGGGAGCTCTGAGGAATGAGAAAAATCAACTTGGACCACTTCTAAAAGAGCAAGGACAATGAGGGGCCACGGGAGAGAGTAAATACTGATTGGACCAAACACAGAATTGTTAGTAACACAGTGTCTCTAGAACAATGAAAATATTCCAGGATCTCATGTACACAACACAAATCACAGCTGCGATGCTCTCACCCAAGAGCTTGGCATATTAAGGAATTATTTAGAATAGTAAAACCCAGAGTGGGAAACTCTAGGAAAAATATCATCAGCTACAATCCAACCATACATAAACATTATTTTATATTGACTAGGGGCGAAGTGAGATTTGTTCAATATTGTAAAATACACAAAACATATGAAGTGGATTAGAAGGTCAAATGACCAAATAAAGGAGTATGAAAAATGACATTGCAAGAAGGGTGGTCTATTGTATCAATACATGAATCCCAAGGCGTAACAGGAAATACTGATAGTGGGACTGTAGCCAAATTATGCATTTCTGGAATGACAAAGCCACCCAGAAAGTCAGAGAAAGGGCAGTGTCAGAACCACCCTGGTGATGAACAATAAAAATACATCATTCTCTCCCCTTTCCAGGAGGTTCCCCACAGAAAATTATAAATAGCCAGGAAGAGAAACTTGAGGGAGTGATAAAGATGATACCTGCCCACTGTTTCTGGGTTTTAAAAAAATGTAAGTTAAACCAAAAAATAAAGTAGGCATTTTTATTTTATAATTTTGAATGCACATTTATTTGGTGGGGGGAGGAATGAGGTTGTATGAGTGCCACAGGGGCAGATAGGAGGTAAGAAGACAAGGTGGAGAAGTTGGTTCTCTCCTTCGATCATGTAGAATCCTGGAATCTGCTGAGCCACCTCACTGGCCAAGGTAATCATTTTCATTAACCTTGTCTGCAAAGGGAAGAGAACAACCAGAGCTTTAATGTGCCATCAACTCAAAAGTTAGACATTCATTCAAACATTAGAAGTTCATAGATTTTGCTCTTCAAAACCAGCTGGAACAGGCAATCTTCTGCTTGACTGTAGGTTTGCCCACTGAAAGGTGTGTGTGGGGTGTCTGTGTCTCCTCTTGGGTCTGGACAGACTTATATGCTTAAGAACCAGTGATGATTTGGAGACTGGATAAGAAAGGTGAACATAACTTCTAATTTGTTTTCTGGGATTCTTGCTCGTGAGGTTTTCAACAACTTAGTACAAGCTATTGAGTAAGAAAGCCCAAATAAGCTGGCCATGAAGACACAGACCTGTGGTCTCAGCTCCTCAGAGTCTGAGGCAGGAGGATTACAAGACCAAATCCAGCCTGGTCTACACAGCAAGTCTGAGGCCATCTGTGCTGAATAGTTTTATGTTGACTTGACACAAGCTATATGAGAGAAGAGAACCTCGATTTAGAAAAACACTGCCATAAGACCCAGCTGTATTAACTAATAATTGATGAAGGAGGTCCCAGCCCATTGTGGGTGGTGCTAACCTTGATCTGGGTTCTATAAGAAAGCAGGCTGGTAACAATCCATGAGAAGCAAGCTGTTAAGCAGCTTTCCTCCACAGCCTCTGCATCAGCTCCTGGCTCAGGATCTGCCTTACTTGAGTTCTTGTCCTTATTTCCTTTGATGATGAACTTGGATGTGGAAGTGTCAGCTGAATAAACCCTTTCTTTCCCAACTTGCTTTGGTCATGCTGTTTCATCACAGCAACAGAAACTCAAACTAAGACACCAGCAGAGGCCACATTTAAAGACTCTGTTTCAAAGAAATAGACAAACAAAAAAAGATCAAACAAGCTCACCAGAAAAAAAAATGTGGAAATTGCTAATTTGTTTTCAATTTAACAATTTTAAGCAATAGAAGTGTCCCTTTACCATGTCATATCATGACTGTCTTTGCAGAAGTGTGTGCTACATTTGTACAACAATGACAAATTCTCATTACAGTATTTATCCAGTTTAAAAACAAATATTTATCTTTTGAAACTAATTAAGTAATACTATATTACAAATGAAATGGAATACTAGTGCCATCCAAATGGATGACTAGCTGATATGGGACTATGTCACAAATATTTAATCAAAATAACAATGCATATATTAATGAATATAGTCTTGTTTATTTGGTAAATTAAGAGAAAGGTGTATATGTATGTTGGTGTATGAATATGATTTTTTGGCAAGTACATACAATCAAATTATCATAAATGTTATAATTTGAAAAGGTTTAAGAAAAATCTTTTTCTCTTTCTCTTTGTACCTATAGACCTACTATGCAAGAGTGTAATGTCCTATAGTTGCAGCAGAGTGCCACAGGTCACAACTTATTCTATATTTTATGAAGAGTGCCACAGGTTACAACTTATTCTATATCATTCTCTTTTAGTGTTTTGCATGCTAGGTCTTAGCTACTTCCTGATCTTAGAAAAAACTACTATCTGAATAAGTTTCTAAAATAATGATTTTTTTCAAAAGCAAAGCTATCTGTCTGCTGTTGCATTTGTACACATCTAGTGACATTGGTGAGCCCTTAAGCCTAAAGCTAGCTCTCTTTTTTCTCCCCCACTTCTCTCTCTTTCTCTCTGCATCCTTGAAGTAACCTGGGATACACATGGCACAAGAACCAATGTAAGGAGTTTCAGAAGTCATTCAAGGTAGTCAGCTTATTCCTTTTAGAAAGAAAGAGACTTTCAACATCGTAGAGGGTTGTCTTTCTCTCCTACACACAGTGGCCTCAGGTATTCCTCACTATGTGGTCCTTGGAGAGCTCAGAGTCTGCTGGCATCACAGAAGGAGAGGCAGTGGCAGAGATGGCACATTACTTTCCATTTTGGGGGGGGCACTTACTATGCCCTGATCTCTGAAAAGTTCTCATAGTAAATATTTGAGTGCATTTAATATTCCATATAATGTTACTATAAAAATATCAGAGGCAGGTTAGTTTTTACAAAGAGAACATTTGACTTAGTACATTGTTGAGGTTCAATGTCCAAAATTGACTAGCTATATTGGTTTGACCACAATGTGTCCAGAGAGAAAAAAACTATCTAAGGGATATTATGTAGTCCAATTTAGGATATTCTAAGGGTAGTGTATGAATCACTTATAACTACTGTATAAAGAGTAAAATTGAAAGTATTTAAAATGAGACTACAGGTATAAAATCTGTAACCATATATAAAAATAACATCACAGGGCTGGAGAGACGACTCATCGGTTAGGTACACTGGCTGCTCTTCCAGAGGACTCAGATTTAGTTCCTTGCAGCCACATTTGTCTCTAACTCCCGTTTCAGGGCATGTGACACCTTTTTTTCTGGCCTCTACTGCAGGTACATGATTCACATGCATATGCAGTGGTAAAATCCTCATAGACAGAAGTTAAAAGTAAAGTCTAAAAATAAACACAGTAACATTATACATAAAATACAGAGTGGAGCTAAATGTGCCACATTTTTACATATGATTGAATTATGCTGTTAGCAGGTTAAAGTACCTTGTCATGCCTGTATTTTATAGTTGGTGTGGTGGTTCGTGCCTCTAATTCCAGCATTTGGGAAGTAGATTCAGAGGAGCACTTGAGCTCAAGAGTTCAAGGTTATCCTAGACAATGTAGCATGGACAAGTCTAAAAACAAAAAGAAAAAGAAAAAAAGAAAAACAAAAAACAAAACCAGATAACTCAATGGGTAAAGGTGCCTGGCATCAAGCCCGATGACCAGAGTTTGAACCCGAGGACACATGTAATGAGAGGAGAGAACTGTCTCGTGAAAATTCTACTCTGACCTTTACTTGTCAGTTGTGATGTAGATATGTCTCCAAATGCATGCACATATACATAGATACATAGATACATAGATACATAGATACATACATACATACATACATACATACATACGTACACATACATACATACATACATACATACACATACATATGTGCATATACATACATACATCTTTAAAAGGTAATAACATAAGAAATAATAGCAAAGGCAGTAATTCTCATGATTACTACAGGGAAAAATCTGCATTATTATAAAGACAAAATAATAAAATGTAACATTAATATAAATCACTGAAAAAATTGAGATAAGAAGAAGAAAAGAGCTAAGAAAAGTCTTTATCTACCAATATTCATTTTAAATGGTAATGGCGTAAATTCTCAAAAGCAAACAAAACAAGCAAACAAACCCCCAGCATGGCTGAAAAGGTTTTTTAAACACTTGTATAAAAACCATATTCACTAAGAGCAATGGGAAAAGTTATTCTCTGCACACAGCAATCAAGAGAGAACACAGACACATTACAGT